AGCTGGACGGGTCATAGGACGTTTATAGTTATTTAATGCTTTTGTAATGGACCTTCGCGGATATATAGTTATTCTCAAAAAAGACGGGGCACCCGGTCCCTTCTGCGACTGGCGTGCTGACAAATGCGTATTTGGCAGGTACTTATGTCTTTTTTCATATTTGGTTGTAGTGATCCTTCCTGCGACGTAAATATTAACTTGAGTGATATCGACCCCGTGCACTGTACGTTGCAAGCCCTACAAGATGGCCGTGTTATGGCTGAAAGCCACGTAAAGCCAACATCTCGTACTCTCTTGAATGGCGAACCAGTCGTTTCTCGGACATTGGTCCCTCACAATAGCACACTTACCGTTGGTGAACGAAATTTTAAATTTCTATACCCCGAGAATTCTACGTGGATTTCGACTTTCCGTCAGGTAATTACATTTTTATGGAGTGCACGATTGTTTGCGTGCTGCTTCTATGACCTCTGTCGCGGCAGATAAAACACGGTTTATCTGATTAAATAATCAGTTTCGATATCCCAAGCAAACGGTTTTTTTAAAGAAATATTTTTTATCCGAGATAAGACTGTTAAAAATATGTATCGCATCTAGGTTAAAAATGATGCCTATAGCAATACTAGATATTTTAGTTCACCGGATATGCATTTCCTAGTGTTTATTAGGCTATCGAATGGTTGAAAATTGGCCTGTTTATATTTTGCCTGCAAGATTTTCGGTTATATGAATGTATTGCGTACATGCTTGTAAATAATTATATCTTCTACACACTGTCGCTGTTAATAGAGCAGCTGTATTGTGCCACATTTTTCGTGGGGATTTAATTTCTTCAATTTCATCCCTTTTTGTTCCCATAAGTCGGATTTTGTTTCAACAGAGACACACATTTTGCTAACAATATTTTGTTGCAGTCACTACATAGCCCCATGTTTTCTGGATATATCACATGGTTTTCATTAATCTGAGTCCCCTAGTTACGTTGCAATATCCTCTAGTCGTTAGCTAGCAGTTCAGATCTGCGTGTTGGCATCCGGTTAGTGATCTGATCAGACTCCAACACCAATCACGCAAAGAAACTACTGAACGAATTGTGCCGACAGAATACTGACAGGCGCCGACCAAAAACATAAATAGCCCGACGTATGATGCTACAGGGTAGTTTTCTGGGTCTGTATACACTGAAAGCGGGTGTCCGGACCTCATGACTAAGATACTAACAATGCTAAGAATGAATACACGAACCTTCTTTGTAAGTCGCATAATGTAGTCACCATCTCGTACAGTGATGCTACTCTGTTAGGTATGGTTGCAGAGGGCAAAACCGCATTACTTTGTTGAAGTGAGCGAGGCTCGTCGTAGACGGTCAGCAAGACGATCTTTGCTGAAAAGTAGCTTGAATGTAGACTGTTTCTGTAACTTAGCCACAAAGCAGTTATTCCAAATTACGGAAGAATTACCGCCTGCGGACAGTATGCTTGTAAGAGATCATACCTGTTGCATTTGGCTTTGAAATGCAGTCACGGGTTCCAATAAACAATTTCACTGTGTTTGTCCGTGTTTTTGATAGAAAAAACAATTTATTTAGAAGATAAGTGCTGCATTCATGGGGCCGCGACAGTGAATATGGCCAAACCACTGTCCTTTATGTATAATCTGCGATTATGCCGCGTTTTCGCAAGTGGATTTGTAACTCAATGGAGCGTAGTTTAAACGTGTTCAACCTGATTAACTGGCAGTCGGTCGCGAGTTTAATTCCACTCGGTCACTGGAGTAGGTATACAGAGCAAGCCACAGTTTATCCTTGTCAAACGAATTCTTGACCATAGAGTAGATAAAACACCACAGATACGCTGGTGTTCAGAGCTTTCTGTCCATTCCTGCCGAATTTTCATTCTTTGGATCATCTGATTATCTCGTGTTCAGTCCCAGTTATGTTCAGTGTGGAAAACAGGTTTCGCCGCCGTAATTAATGGTTAAGTAGTCGTAAAACTTACTTTATTTTCACCGTGACTCAGGTCTTCAGTCCTACGCATGCCTTATGTCTTGTTGGCCCAGTTATGCGCTGCAAACGTACAAAGTAGGCATAACCCATTTAAATGTTAGACTTACCTTCTTCCATATTTTTATTTTATGTCGAGATTTGTATATAGTTTGAAACTGACCTGCCTTGCATTACTGCCTATTATCACTACCGGATTTGACAGACATTATTAGCCGCTAAGACCTGTCTGCTTTATTCTAGTTCTCCGGTGTATCATGTGTTCCTCTCCTGAATATCTGCGTTCTAGTTGACCAAAACATTAATTATCTAGTGCAGGGTGTTTTGATTTTTTGTTATTCAGTAAAACCTGAACGGATTTTAACAAGTATTTTACCACCCTTTAGCAGTCGCCTCGGAGCACCAAAAAGGACACTGGATTCCGAAGCCTTACGACTCCCGTGGTTGACGTCGACTCCTTCCCTGTTGTACGATCTAAGTCACCAAAGCCATCAGTTCCGCAACCGTTTGTTAAACGAACACCTACAGCTTCCCCAGCTCGACGGCCGCTTACTACACGGGAACGTTATGGTCCGACACCGCCGCGCCCCATTACGCCTGCACCTGTTGTGGAAGTTAAAAGACACGAAAGTCGTTCATCACTCAAGCCTCGCCGCAGCTCTGTAGGGTCCCGCAACACTCCCATATCTCCATCTTTATCCCGAAAAAAGGCCAAAGTCTTGATTGTAACCAATACACCTGGCCCGCAGAGCATTCGTCGTACTGCAAGACAACAAAAGACACTACTCTCCTCACAGCAGACCAACAATTCTTCGATAACTTCTTCCTATTCGATGCTAGGCCTGAAGAGTCCAAATTACTCAAGTCAGAGTGCGTACACTGCAGCCTTTTTAGATGATCCATCTTACGACGCGTCTTATGATCCATCAACCGCTGACGTCCTTTCGCCTGCAGCTGAGTATTTTTCGTCACAGAAAAAAGGCAACTTTGCGAAGTTTCCTTTTACTGAGCCACGACAGCGTACATATGCCAATCGGACACCGATCCCCCGACGCAAATCGTTGCCACGTGACCACCCGATGCTCTCACCGAAGGGATCTGA